CATACAGAGTTATGGACATAAATGTGTCAGTATAGACGGGATAATGTACATATTCATAATATTTAATTAGTTAAATGTACAATGAGCTAAAAACATCAGAATCACTGCTGTTAGCAGGGTCTCAGAGACCCATAGACCCAGAGACCCAGGGTACAGCACCTCACTGTCTTACCCAGAAAACAGGGCTCTGATCAGGGCTAAAGTAATGTTATAAACTGGTGAATCTGTTTAAATGCAGGCAGCAGAGTCACTGCTTTTAGCAGGGTCTCAGAGACCCATTGACCCAGAGACCCAGGGTACAGCACATCGCTGTCTTACCCAGAAAACAGGGCTCTGATCAGGGCTAAAGTAATGTTATAAACTGGTGAATCTGTTTAAATGCAGGCAGCAGAGTCACTGCTTTTAGCAGGGTCTCAGAGACCCATATACCCAGAGACCCAGGGTACAGCACCTCGCTGTCTTGCCCAGAAAACAGGGCTCTGATCAGGGCTAAAGTAATGTTATAAACTGGTGAATCTGTTTAAATGCAGGCAGCAGAGTCACTACTTTTAGCAGGGTCTCAGAGACCCATAGACCCAGAGACCCAGGGTACAGCACCTCGCTGTCTTACCCAGAAAACAGGGCTCTGATCAGGGCTAAAGTAATGTTATAAACTGGTGAATCTGTTTAAAAGCAGGCAGCAGAGTCACTGCTTTTAGCAGGGTTTCAGAGACCCATAGACCCAGAGACCCAGGGTACAGCACCTCGCTGTCTTACCCAGAAAACAGGGTTCTGATCAGGGCTAAAGGAATGTTATAAACTGGTGAATCTGTTTAAATGCAGGCAGCAGAGTCACTGCTTTTAGCAGGGTCTCAGAGACCCATAGACCCAGAGACCCAGGGTACAGCACCTCGCTGTCTTACCCAGAAAACAGGGCTCTGATCAGGGCTAAAGTAATGTTATAAACTGGTGAATCTGTTTAAATGCAGGCAGCAGAATCACTGCTGTTAGTAGGGTCTCAGAGACCCATAGACCCAGAGACCCAGGGTACAGCACCTCACTGTCTTACCCAGAAAACAGGGCTCTGATCAGGGCTAAAGTAATGTTATAAACTGGTGAATCTGTTTAAACGCAGGCAGCAGACTCACTGCTTTTAGCAGGGTCTCAGAGACCCATTGACCCAGAGACCCAGGGTACAGCACCTCACTGTCTTACCCAGAAAACAGGGCTCTGATCAGGGCTAAAGTAATGTTATAAACTGGTGAATCTGTTTAAATGCAGGCAGCAGACTCACTGCTTTTAGCAGGGTCTCAGAGACCCATTGACCCAGAGACCCAGGGTACAGCACCTTGCTGTCTTACCCAGAAAACAGGGCTCTGATCAGGGCTAAAGTAATGTTATAAACTGGTGAATCTGTTTAAATGCAGGCAGTAGAGTCACTGCTTTTAGCAGGGTCTCAGAGACCCATAGACCCAGAGACAAAGGGTACAGCACCTCACTGTCTTACCCAGAAAACAGGGCTCTGATCAGGGCTAAAGTAATGTTATAAACTGGTGAATCTGTTTAAACGCAGGCAGCAGACTCACTGCTGTTAGCAGGGTCTCAGAGACCCAGGACACATCATGAGGACAGCCTAGAGACCTCCAAGAGGTGTCCCTAACAGTGGGACTCTGTTTATTTCACACCTCCAGGAGAGACAAGGGGGAAATCCACCTCTCTCTGCCCGCTCACAGAGCCCCGAAGGACGGACATAATTCACCGTTGGGATTATTGTGTTGCAACCCGGACCCGTTAGTGAGGGTACCGGGTTTGGTGTCATTCATGCTAGCTTGAGTAGCAACAAGCAGATGTTACTTACCTTGTCTTCTGTCTAATGGATAATAAAGTGTGGAGTTCCATACTGAACACACCGCCTCTGACTCCCTTTCATCGGCTCTACAACTGTTTATTTCTGGCCTTACAACAGACGGACGCCATTTTGTGCTTAACTTCAAGCGGAATCTTCCCAAACTCGGATCAAACTAAAAAAATAGGCAGTGCTGATCAAACATTATTCAAGATTCTGTTACTGTCCTGTTTATTTCTCTACTCAAAAGTTTGCAGAAATGTATTTTAGTGCACTGTCTAGCTTTGAGATCGTTTTTACAACAGACGGACGCCATTTTGTGCTTAACTTCAAGCGGAATCTTCCCAAACTCGAATAAAAAAATAGGCAGTGCTGATCAAACATTAACACACAGACACACACACACACACACACACACACACACACACACACACACACACACACACACACACACACACACACACGCGCACACTCATTGACTAAACGACTGAGACTCATGTTTCTTTTTCCCACTCACTTTATTAATTGTTTTTGGTTCCATTAGTAATAAAATCACAATAAAGGTACAACAGCGTGCTCTGAGGAATTACATCTGATCTGATCCTCTTCCTGGGTAGTCATCCACATTTCAGTTCTCATTCACTTCCTGTTTCCCTTCTTTAACACTCAGGTAGCTTTCAGGCTGTGCACATTTAAAAGCAGACAGTATATTAAAGAATAAATTATATATATATACATATATATATACCAGTGAACCCCTCTAAACCCTTCATTAGACACTTCTGTTATTTCACTAAGGTGTTACATTTCTAAATCTAATTGTTACATTTATAGATATAATTGCTCAATGACTGAATGGTATTCATACGTCACATCACTTGGTGGACTAACCCTAACCTTTCTGCGTATAGTAATAAAATCATCCTAATAAAACCCTTTTCTGATCACTTTTCTTCATCGGACACATATTAAGATGTTACATTTCTAAATATAATCCATGTATTACTAAATAAAGTAAAGTATGTTTGGCTCATAGTAATACAACCCTAGTAAAGGTACAACAGCGTGCAACAACCTCTCCATTGGGAATGACTTAAGTCTGATAATAATTCACTTCTTTAAAACTCACAACGTCTCAAGTTAAGACGCTTTGTGCTTCTTCGTGTTTTCATTTTTGATCTGCGCTTCATTTTATTCTTGGAAAAACAAATATATCAAATGAGCGTAGAGTTTTAGACCATGTTGCTGTGGATTGGGATCATTGTAAATAATACATCGATGTTTGGCTATACCGTCATTTGATCTGAGCAGTACTCGTATATGTCCTGATGTTGCCAGCAGTGACAGGCAATACGTCTCATCTAATCTGGGTCTAATGGCAGAGAGGTGATCTTTCACTGAATGACTTGTGTTGTGTAGGAGTTCCTCGTATCAGCTGATCCTGTGTGTTTCATTGGAGGGGATGTTGTTGCGTAATGCTGCTGTATGCTTCACTTCTATTATTCCCCTAAAGATGTTACATATCTCAATCTTATTATCATTGGACTAAATAAAGTAATACATGTTTTGCTCATAGTAATACAATCATAATAAAAGTACAACAGCGTGCTCTGAGGAATTACATCTGATCTGATCCTCTTCCTGGGTAGTCATCCACATTTCAGTTCTCATTCACTTCCTGTTTCCCTTCTTTAACACTCAGGTAGCTTTCAGGCTGTGCACATTTACAAACAGACAGTATATTAAAGAAGAAATTATATATATATATATATATATATATATATATATATATATATATATATATATATATATATATATATACTAGTGCACATAGTAAAAGAACCCCTTTTGATTATTTCCCCCACATCATAAAGAAGTTAAAACTCAGAATAACTGGAGTCCTCAGGAATAATCTCAGATAATGTGCCGGCTCAGTTTCACAGCAACAAGACCTTCATTTCCACCGTCAGGAATCAGCTGAGAACACAGAGACACTGCTGAGTCATGGTTTATACTTTGCTGCTTTGTGTTCATCAAGGAACTCGTTAAACATCGTGTTCATCAAGGAACTCATTAAACATCGTGTTAATCAAGGAACTCGTTAAACATTGTGTTAATCAAGGAACTCGTTAAACATCGTGTTAATCAAGGAACTCGTTAAACATCGTGTTCATCAAGGAACTCGTTAAACATCGTGTTCATCAAGGAACTCGTTAAACATTGTGTTAATCAAGGAACTCGTTAGGAAGAACAAATGAAGGAGCTGCCTACCATGCAAAGCTCTTCAGTTACTCCATCCCATAGTGATGATGGCCGCGTTCCCATCAGAGTGTTTAGCAGATCTGTGCCTCCTGCGAGCTGCCCCCCTACAGCTCTGTACACAGACAGGAAGTTAGCTTCACAGACAGGAAGTTAGCTTCACAGACAGGAAGTTAGCTTTACTCTGTGTGTAAGTATTCTGGGTGTTTCTCAATCGCGAGTAAAGCTGCTCCAGAACCACTATTTCAAGCATACTACGTCATCGAGTGCCGCCGAAGTACTGTTCCAATCTCCAGCATACTTGGAAATCTACCGAGCCCGGCGTACCCCGTTTGGAGAAATATCGAGTGTGCACATGAGTAGACTTCGCGGTCTTAAAATCCCCACAATGCTTTGCGCACGGACCAATTTCCCCAAATCTGTGGCGGAAGATGTAAGGCGAGGCCTCTCATATGACGCACACCTGCACACTTGCTAGCGTGTTCCTCTCTTTGTTTTCCGAATGTCAGGAAGTATTCTTGACTCGCTTCTGAAGCAAGATGCTCGGCAGACATGTGCTACCAAGCAAGCGTACTCGCGATTGAGAAACACCCACAGTATTTACTATAACTTCTCACAGGTGTATTAGTACTCTGTTTATTAGTACTCTGTGTGTTAGTACTTTGTGTATTAGTACTCTGTTTATTAGTACTCTGTGTGTTAGTACTCTGTGTGTTAGTACTCTGTGTTTTAGTACTCTGTGTGTTAGTACTCTGTGTATTAGTACTCTGTGTATTAGTACTCTGTGTGTTAGTACTCTGTGTATTAGTATCAGTGTATTAGTACTCTGTGTACTCTGTGTATTAGTACTCTGTGTATTAGTACTCTGTGTATGTGTACTCTGTGTATTAGTACTCTGTGTATTAGTACTCTGTGTATTAGTACTCTGTGTGTACCGGAGTGCAGGCCTGGCCCTGTGTGGGGCACAGCTCCAGTTTGCAGTGCAGGTAGATTTCACTGCTTCCTCCAGAGAACTCGAACATGTTGAAGGAGAAAACGCTGGACGTTCCCTGTCCGTTTCCCTGCATTTGCACCGTATCATCAGCAGGGTTCGGACATCTGCCCGGAGACAGGAAATACACAAGATGAAGTCTCAGAGTTTATTTTGTTCGAACAGTCAGAGTTTATTTTGTTCTAACAGTCAGAGTTTATTTTGTTCTAACAGTCAGAGTTTGTTTCCTCACCCGTTGATGATGAGGTAATATCGCAGATTACCGTCAGGTGATGCCTGATTGGTTGCCCAGCAGGAGTCTGTCACCATGGTGACCATGTTGGCGTCCAGCCCCAACGCCTCCAGCTGCAGCCAGACCTTCTGGTTCAGCAGGATCTCCGTGCTTGGGCCGACCGGCTGCAGGAGGCCGGCGTCACTGAAGGAGCTCATCGTCAGAGTGTAGCTCCACTCTTCAGATACGATGTGCTGCACTACAGAGCTGCACACACACACACACACAAACACACACACACACACACACACACACACACACATACACACACACACACACACACACACACACACACACACACACACACATACACACACACACACACACACACACACACACACACACACACACACACACACACACACACACACAGTTTATCAGTGTGACGCTTGGATCTGTGGTACATTAACCTGTTAAGCCCTGAGCCTGTTTTTCAGGTCTCAGGCTCGAAAATGACATTCCCAGAACAAACGACCATATCTTCCCTTCTAAAAGGATTAAATTAATAATCTTTTTTCTCAAAGTAATGATAAACCTGTGAGTTGGATGTAGAAAAGTCAGAATCAATATAGATGTTTTTTATTTTAAAGAAAATTCAGATTTTACATAGTAAAAAACTGTAAATTATTTTTTACTTATAGTGAAAACTACCCTTGGATGATGGGTTAGTAGACTAAAAGCATTAGGAATCCAAAGTACAACATATAATAAGTACCATGTATCAAGATTGATGCAAAACAAGTGACATTTGACCTTTTTAGAGAGATTTAGCAAAAAGAAACCACTTCTGGGGTCATTTGGGTAGATTTTCCATATCTCTGGCCCCCCTTGCTCAATTTTGGTGGTTGACACCTCTTTCTGACCGTTAGAGCCAATAGAATCGAAGGGGGAGTCCCCCACACACACATTGTGAAGAGAAGAGGTGGGGGCTTCGCGCATGTAATTTTCCATCAGAGTGGACCTATCTCTAGCTTTGACATCTGGAAACGGAAAAGCAGTTTTAATGCTTATGGATTATCAGAAATCATTTCAAAGGGACACAGACACATTGGATTAACCTATGGATTAACTTCAGCAGCGTTTTTATCGTTTTAATGCCATTGAAGACCACTTTGGAGAGATTACAGAGCCAAGGTAAAAATGTTAGCATTTTTAGCTACCTAGCGTCACCTGTTTTGATATCCGTTTTTGCTTATAACATCACAAATACGTATAATTCAGTGGTAATGTCGGTGTCGTTAGATTCTGTGTCACCTCACGATGTGAAACGATGTGTTGGATGTGGTGAAATGATAAATAATAAGATTTTGTGAGTGATTTTCCGTGCAGTAAGGTGTTAGCATTTTTCGCTCGTTGCTAATTCAGAGGCTCAGTGTTAGCATTGTGGGTTTTCTTTTGAAAAAAAAATTAAAATGATCAGTTAGATGAGTTTCTTCCCGTTACATGGATATAAAACATTCATAGTTTTATTAAATGAACATGCCCTCAGACACTGTTTCCTGCAAGATGTTGAGGCAGTGCCCCGGTACCGGGGTCTCTCGGGCTTAACAGGTTAAGGACCAGGTGACGCTCACCTCTCTTTGATCCTGAAGGACACACTCCTGACCACACACACACACACACACACACACACACACACACACACACACACACACACACACACACACACACACACACACACACACACACACACACACACACACACACACACAGTTTATCAGTGTGACGCTTGGATCTGTGGTACATTAACCTGTTAAGCCCTGAGCCTGTTTTTCAGGTCTCAGGCTCGAAAATGACATTCCCAGAACAAATGACCATATCTTCCCTTCTAAAAGGGTTAAATTAATAATCTTTTTTCTCAAAGTAATGATAAACCTGTGAGTTGGATGTAGAAAAGTCAGAATCAATATAGATGTTTTTTATTTTAAAGAAAATTCAGATTTTACATAGTAAAAAACTGTAAATTATAGTGTCCGTCCAAAAATTCTTTTTTACTTATAGTGAAAACTACCCTTGGATGATGGGTTAGTAGACTAAAAGCATTAGGAATCCAAAGTACAACATATAATAAGTACCCTGTATCAAGATTGATGCAAAACAAGTGACATTTGACCTTTTTAGAGAGATTTAGCAAAAAGAAACCACTTCTGGGGTCATTTGGGTAGATTTTCCATATCTCTGGCCCCCCTTGCTCAATTTTGGTGGTTGACACCTCTTTCTGACCGTTAGAGCCAATATAATCGAAGGGGGAGTCCCCCACACACACATTGTGAAGAGAAGAGGTGGGGGCTTCGCGCATGTAATTTTCCATCAGAGTGGACCTATCTCTAGCTTTGACATCTGGAAACGGAAAAGCAGTTTTAATGCTTATGGATTATCAGAAATCATTTCAAAGGGACACAGACACATTAGATTAACCTATGGATTAACTTCAGCAGCGTTTTTATCATTTTAATGCCATTGAAGACCACTTTGGAGAGACTACAGAGCCAAGGTAAAAATGTTAGCATTTTTAGCTACCTAGCGTCACCTGTTTTGATGTCCATTTTTGCTTATAACGTCACAAATACGTATAATTCAGTGGTAATGTCGGTGTCGTTAGATTCTGTGTCACCTCACGATGTGAAACGATGTGTTGGATGTGGTGAAATGATAAATAATAAGATTTTGTGAGTGATTTTCCGTGCAGTAAGGTGTTAGCATTCTTCGCTCGTTGCTAATTCAGAGGCTCAGTGTTAGCATTGTGGGTTTTCTTTTGAAAAAAAAATTAAAATGATCAGTTAGATGAGTTTCTTCCCGTTACATGGATATAAAACATTCATAGTTTTATTAAATGAACATGCCCTCAGACACTGTTTCCTGCAAGATGTTGAGGCAGTGCCCCGGTACCGGGGTCTCTCGGGCTTAACAGGTTAAGGACCAGGTGACGCTCACCTCTCTTTGATCCTGAAGTACACACTCCTGACCCCTGGCTGTGTGTACTTGCAGGAGAAGTCGATCTGGAACTGGTCTCTGCGGGTGATGACTCCGCCTGATGAGCTGTTCGAGAACATGATGGAGTTCTTGAAGACGATCTGGCTGTTGTTTCTCTGCAATGTGACAGAAAATGAGTTCATTTAACGGCCACATTATTCCAGTGCTCACTGCTGACGGTTCCATCCTGGCAGAGAACGGTCAGTGTTGGAGTTCACAGTCCAAACCATCCAGGTCATAAATCACATGGTCTATAATCAATAAAGGGAACTAGAGGAGATGCTCTCCCAGTATTTAATTAAAGTTAAACAGGGTGACTGAAGCCTGTGCCTTCCCTTCCATCGATCATAAAGAGGCAGAACAACCTTCCAGCTCTTCTGAGTTAGTGATGGGAATTATGGCTCTTTGAAGGGAGCCGGATCTTATGGCTCCGTTCCTTTCAAAGAGCCGTTCAAAAGAGCCGTTCAAAAGAGCCGTTTTTTAAAAGGGGGCGGGGTTACTAGGTTTATCTGCGAAATAATCACCAGAATAATGATTGACTGTATTGCCAGACCTAATGTCAATAATCGGCATTGTAAACATGACACAAGGTGGCGCCATATCCATGTCATTCATGTCAGTGAATGTACTTTGAATTTACCCTCTGTATGTGTTAAGTAAATAAAGTTGCCTTGCCTTGAATGAAATTCACGCAACTCTTAATATTAGATAGTGTGTTTTTAAGTGGCGATGGAGATTATTTGTTGACCCTGCTTTAAAGGATATTTTGCCTTTACAAATGGTGCGCTTTATCACTGCCTGGGTTTTGGTTGAAGTGAATCCAAATGCTGCTGCGTTTTCGCGTTTGGCTCATTTTCCATCCGAAAAACACGTCGTCTACCTGTCCTGTACCACTTGTTATGACTTCTCTCTCCGTTAAGACCAACCCCATCTCACTCCTCGTGCTGAAACCTACCAATCAGAGTAGGGGCGGGTCTTCACAGAATACGTTTGGGGAACAAAATCAAGCTTTTTAAAAGGTGAGTGGATTTTGGCAGGCAGTGAGTGCGGACCAACGATTGAACGATAACAAGAACGGCTCTCACCAAGTACGACTCGGTTCCCCTCGTTCGTACCAAAGAGCCGTTCAAAAGAATCGGCTCGTTCGCGACCGACACATCACTATTCTGAGTGCTGTGTCAATAACCAACTGAACAGGACTCAGTTAAAGCAGCTTTAAATGCTTCTCGTTTGCCCAAAAACGCTCTGAAGATAACCCGCCATGAGTCTAGAGGAAGTGTTAACCACGCACCATGACCTCCGTCCCGCAGGGGGCGCTGTTGTTGAACCTGAAGGTCACCAGGTGGCTCTGGGGGTCCATGTGGCCCTTGCAGCTGGGGTCTTTGAGCTGTAAGGTGGAGAAGTCGATGCCTTTGTCGTCCAGCAGACATCCAGCCAGAACCACAGAGGCCGAGTTCTGCCTGCAGACCGTGGGATCGCCTGCAACACAACGACACTTCAACGACACACCGACAATTCAACGACACACCGACACTTCAACGACACACCGGCACTTTAACGACACACCGACACTTCAACGACACACCGACATTTCAACGACACACCGACACTTCAACGACACACCGACACTTCAACATGGACTATAACGGGTAGTGGAGTTACTGACAGAATGTATTTGGCACTATAATGAAAGCTGTTTCTAAATTCCACACTAAACAATATGTTATTTCTGGCAGAGCTCAGCATCAAAACAGCTGTTAGCAGCAGGCTGGTGGTAAATAACCAAATCCCTAATTCAGACCAGTGCAAGCAGAGGAAACGGTGTGATATGCTCCGTACCTAAAGACTTGGTGGCTTTGTACTTGGAGGCGAACAGAGCCCGACAGAAGCAGCGGGTCGAACCGTGAACCTCTCCACAGAACTCATGATCACTGCAGGGCTGCTGACAGAGAGGTGGGGGGGCTGCACACACACACACACACACACACACACACACACACACACACACACACACACACACACACACACACACACACACACACACACACACACACACACACACACACACACACACACACACACACACACACACACACACACACAATGATTTACTTTTAAATTAACTTCATTCATTTCTCTGCTTCTTTACTATTTTCCCATTTTATTAGGGAGCCTTGGCTTCTGGTTACTTTTAGGATACATTTGATCAAATATGTCTGCTTGACTGCACGAGTTCCAGTGCAATATCCTCGAATGGAAATAGAGAATCTTACAGCAGCCAGTAGTTGACCTCCAGTCCTCCAGGGTCACGTTGGCTTCCAGGCTGCAGGTCTTGGCGTAAGCCTCCAAAAAGTGGCAGTCGACCCCATCCACTAACGGGTATCTGCACAGAGTGTGTGTGCAGGCGCTGATGTACGGCTCTGGGTCTGTGTGCTCGTGACAGGCGGAGAAGGGAGGCTGCCTCATGAGATTACAGCTGTTCAGAGGGAAGAGTTTTCCGTGTTACATTGGTTGATCTTGCAGAAACAACGCTGCTTATATGACATGACAAGACGAGGGTGTTCATGGCTCAGCTCTTACTGGTCGGTGGAGATGTTGCAGTTGATGGCGCTGTCGACTGAGTCCTGGTATTGAATCTCACAGCTAGAGGGAGACAAAGATCACATTACATCTGAACCCTAATCCACATTATGACAAATAGGTCATATCAGTCGGACTGAGCGGTACCCAGGGAGGCTGATAGAGGACTTCTCTGCAGTCGGGGTGGTGGTCCACCTGGAGTTGGAGGGGCTGCCACACAAACCCTCTACAGCTGCAGGAGGTCCTGGTGGATGTGAGGGTAGAATTAAAGCTGTCATTCAGAAATAAATATGTAATATTCAGTCCAGATTGGAAGTACTGTTCTGTACCTGTCACATGTGCGCTGTTGCCATCAAAGAAGAGAGTCATGTTGGAGGACGGGAACTTAGCAGTGACTCCAGTCTGGTCCTTGGAGAGCTCCACGCCGTGCATCAGCTGAGCTGTGCTGCTGAGCACCAGGGCTTCACCACCAACCTACACACACACACACACACACACACACACACACACACACACACACACACACACACACACACACACACACACACACACACACACACACACACACACACACACACACACACACACACACACACACACACACACACACACACACACACACACACACAGAGGGTTTGTGATACACCACCACAAAGTAACTCCTAGCAGGAATTGATCAGCATTGCTTGAGCAAACACCCCCATAACTACAACGTGCTAACGTACCCGAACTCTTCCTCTTTGCTCCAGATACATGGTCACACCTGGCAGCGACAGGATCAGGTGGTCCAGAAGAGGAACATCTGTACGCCGGCGCTCCCTGAAAGCGGCCATGAGGTTGAAGCTGGCGCTGCCTTCAGACTCCATCAGACTGTAGGCACAGCGATCCTGGACAGAGTGCACTGCTCCGTGGAAACCGATCACCGTGGAGCCCGTCACCGTGCACACCACTGGAGGAATAGCGCACCTGATGGACATTCAATTCAAAGGTTTTATTGTCATATGCACAAAGCTACAGTGTAGAAATGGCGATGACATTCTTCTGACCTGAGCTCCTCCAACGATGCAACATATATAATAAAAAGAAAGAAAAAAAAAGTAGTGCAAAAAGTCTATATACATGTAAATAGAATATGATATGTAAAAGAACAGATGGAGAGGGACTCACAGTCTGGGTCTTTCTAAAGACAGACATACTTTACACTCATCCTAAACTCAAAGGAAATGAATCCTTCTCAAAGTTCACAATATGACACAGAAAGGTCAGTAAAGTTACATTCAGCCGGTGAAACACGTACAAATATAATAATATCTCTCTCATAAATACGTGTGGAATACTAAACATCTTGAAGTATTTTATAAAACAGGGCATACAGTGATATTATGTTGCATTATGGGTAATGCTCAACTCTACTTGGGACAACCCGGATATCTGCGGTTTGGTCTGATTTATGGACGCAACACTACAATACTGATGGAGCTCGCCTCGGAGGATTTACACATGTGTAAAGTATGGAGGATAGGTCAAAGGATCACTTTATAGGAACACTGCACACACACCGAGACGCTGTGCATCCATCTGGATCTCTTTTCATAAAGTGTCCATCATGAGGCCCACCATGTCAAACAAGTGCAATGGGAAATAAGTGGAGAACGTTCTTTAGGATTTATAGACTGCACCATTCTCCAGCTGATAAGAAACAATAATGGATGGACTTAAAACCCCTTTCCACTGAAATGAGAACCGGGTTAGTTCGGACGGTTGGTTCTCAATGTTGGACCAATGACCTGTTCATTTGACAGCACTGTTTACGTCCCTGCATTTTCCAGACAAGCCAGCTTAGGCAAAAACTACAACAATGGCGGGCTGCATTGGAGCTGTGCTCTCGTTGCTCTTCTTCAGATCCAGGTTGAACTGTTCCCACTAGGATTCAGAGGCATTCACCGTTGCTTTAGTGACAGTCAGTAATTCACTGCTGACTGTCACTAAAGCAACAGATGTAGATTTCCCCAGTGATTCATATTTTGTTCAGTTTTAATGTACAATGTTTGACGTTAACTGCCAAACGTTTCCCTGTATCATATGGATGATGTTAGCATAGCCAGTCTGAAGAAGCAATAACCAGATTAAGAGCCAACAAACTAAATTAATCTTATTTAAAATATATAACACATGATATGAACATTAGATGGTTACGGCGTTTTAATTATTCACCATAAATGCTTTGTATGAGTACATGTTGCTATCATTGTGTCATTTTCCGTTTTATACCGGCGTTCTTTCAATAGGATTTCACTTGTGATCTGATATGAAAACTTGTGTAGCCTACAGTATGTAGTGATCACACCTGAAAGCTGGTATGAAAACAACAGGAGAACGGGTCGTGCTGCTCCTCAAAATGGGCCGTGAGAGCGAACGTATCTCTACGGCTCTAGTGATCTGACCCAGCCTCCACACAGATCTGGTTCTTGGTTCCAGTTCAGCAGTGCTCTGGTTCCTAACACGAACCAGTTTTGCTCATGGAAACAATGAAAGGACTGGTGAGCTATCGGGCACTAGCTCTGAACTGACCCTGGAACTGCTTTGGTGGAAAGGGGTAATAGAAATAGGAACAGATTCATCAATAACTGCAATAATCCTCAGGTGGATAATATCCTCACTCTCTCATGGAGGGTTCGATCACATGGGACACTTTATTCAAATCAGTCAGACCTTTATTCCTGATATAAAGAGCACATATTTACGTGTTGTCCGCTTGGCAAACCTCCTCGGGCCCACATGCAGTGACAGTAGAGAGGACTGCAGACAGAGAACAGAGTTCAACAGAGCAGGGCTCTGCGCTGGGCCCTAAGTTGGGCATCTCTGAACCCGGCATTATAGCGCCACCTTGGAGGAGAATGGAGGTAATGATATTACACTTCAGTAACTACAGGCAGAATTTAAGATAGGGAAACAACAGACATGTTTTAATATCACATTTAACTTAGAGGATCCCTTTCTTTGGGAACCCCCAGACCAGCTTACCTGAGCCTCTGCATCCACTCAGGTCTCGAAGCATAGCTGGACCTGCAGGAGGCTCCCAGGTATCCATCACTGTGCCACCGACTTTTGTAGAAATTTCCTAGTAAAGGATTAAACAGAATGTATTTGTATGCATATTATTTATTTAACAGGGACATTGCACACTAAGAACCATTTCTGTAAATGTGCCAGAGTTAGCCAAGAGGCTCTTTTACATCTGTAGTCCCTGGACAGATGTTTGAACCTTAAAAACACATTTAAAATAACAAGTAAATACAATGAGTGAAAACAAAGGTAACCTCAACACTGTACACATGAATGAAAGTGTTCTATAGATGCCACTTCTGATATATTTCCTCCGATGTTAGGACATGAAGTAACAGTGAGAGCAGTGGTGAGCTCCTTCATTATTCCAGATTGATATTTCTAGTGAACTCCTTTGTCCACTTGAGGGCAGGAAGGAGCAGAACCACCAGCCCCTGGTGCTGTGAGTCCAGCCTGCCCCCGTTAGCTCTGCATGCTAGCAGCTACATGTGTCACTGATAAGAACTCTCTTTGTCTTCAGACACATGATGCTGAGTGACTTCTGCTTCCTGAAACTCTAAGGCTGTGTATGACATTATTTCTGACACCTATCTCTGTTTAGAAGTGAAAATAAGAAGAGAGTTTTCAAAGGAGAGGCTTAGAGGAGCAAACAGACTGCACTTGATCTTCTCCATTCACCTATCCATGCTGAACTGAAAGCTGGTTCTGTATTCATATGAATGATGTCTGATAGTGATACAAAGGAATAATGGATCACACACAGCCTCAGTTCTCATTTCTCAGGGTGGTTAGGGTACAGAAGTCTTCTCAGGGATCAGTTCTCATTCAGAGTGAGTGTGAGGAAGGCTGGAAGACAGCAGCTTTCTAACAGAAAGCATTTAGGATATGAGTTTCCCTGGCACACAGAAACAAACAGGAAAACATTGCATTGGTATCGGGACCTGACAAATGGTAACTCTAAACATCGGTGAGGCTGAAGGGTTAGGGTTAGGTAACAGCCTCATGTCATACTTACTAAACTAGCAGGAAACGGACGGCCAGCATAATGATTTGTATGGCAAGCAGCTTGCAAACCATAATTGTAGAATGACCACTTCATCTGAAAGCAGGAACAGAGAGAGAAATATTAGGAACTGCTTCCAACATCTTACAAATAAACTTTGATTTGAAGTTGTCTTTGCCACACAATGTCTTTGAAATGTTCATTTTGTACAAACAGCTGGACAGCCAGTCAGTGTGTAACAGGGATCGGATCAGGACTCACATTCAATGTAGAACCAGTGAAGAACTTGAGAGCAACGACACCCAGTCCCTGGGTTTTGATGTTAGAAAGATAATAGTTAGGGCGAAATGTCGAATCACTCGTAATGTACGTCAGTTTGGTTGAAGCCACCTCGTTGGTCACCAGACAGTCAATGTCGTCCTCAGATGGGTCATTTTTTAAACAAACTTCATTCTTATTGCCGATCTTCACCTGCAAAAACAAAAAAAGGAACTACAATATGAAGGCTTTCGCTCCAGAACAGCATCGTTTCATCTCCTCAAATGTCTGAGCTGCAAGGTGTGCTTTTAGCTAGGGAGAAAAAGGATAGGATCAATTATGAGATCAAAACATTTCTCTCACTTTGGAAAAAACCTTTCTACAAGCCACTGTCCAACAAGTCTTTATGTCTCCTTTCATACAGAGACACATGTGGAATCAAAGAGACGCGTCCAGCTGCTCCAAACCACTTCCTGTTGGCTCTAGTAATGATCTGTCCCCACTCCATTGAACTGATCTGATCAGTGCCTGACCCCATAGACCCCATAGATCCCATAGACCCCATAGACCCCATAGACCCCATAGACCCCAGAAACCCCATAGACCCCATAGACCCCAGAGGGAAATGTTATGCTCACTTTCCAGCTCAGGACCAGACTCACAGTGATGCATTCTGGGACCAAGCCTGTCTCAGTGCGTCTGATATTGAATAATATGAGGGGAAACTTTTATAATACCCAAAATAACAGCTGGCACAAAAAGCACACACTTTAAACTTTGTGTCTAATACTCAATTCATTCTCTGCCTTTAGCAGCATGTCATTATTCATTTGCTCCCATATTTACAGGCTGACACGCTGAAAGGTAACAAACCGCTTACATCTATATATAAATACAATCAAGACAAACACACTAGTGACTGATTCTGAGGACTGTGAGTTAGTACATATTAAACAGTGAGTTATAACATATTAAACAGTGAGTTAGTACATATTAAACAGTGAGTTAGTACATATTAAACAGTGAGTTAGTACATATTAAACAGTGAGTTATAACATATTAAACAGTGAGTTAGTACATATTAAACAGTGAGTTAGTACATATTAAACAGTGAGTTAGTACATATTAAACAGTGAGTTATAACATATTAAACAGTGAGTTAGTACATATTAAACAGTGAGTTAGTACAGTGAGTTAGTACATATTAAACAGTGAGTTAGTACATATTAAACAGTGAGTTATAACATATTAAACAGTGAGTTATAACATATTAAACAGTGAGTTATGTGTAATATCTATAATACCTTTATTATGTGTATTGTTGACAGTTCTGATGTTTCAGTGGCCGTGTCAGACCTGACCTTTACCTCACCGACCTCTATTAAGCTTACCATTGATAAAAAGATGCTAAATTGTCTGTGAATGGAAAGGATGTATGTTTCCATCTTGTCTGTTCAGACATGTGAAACTAGATAGAACATTCTGAACTTTTGATCAGTTAATGAATTAAAGTATAAAGTTTGCATATTTGAAATTGAAATGTTTACTAAAACATGACATTGACAATGTGTTCTGCTTTCATGAAAAATGTTCATATTCCCTCTCTTTAAAATTACATATCATTACTATAAGTCTTTATTTGTTGTATTTTTAAACGTTACATTTTTTAATGTTCAATAATTAAAAGTTGAACAGTTGTGACCTCCTTCTGACTCAAAGAGAGAAAGGGGGAGACCACCTGATGCAAAGAGGGAGGAGGAAGAAGACTATAAAGAAAAATGGAGAAGAAGAAACGAGACAGCTTTAGGACATTTGACTTGTGAACCTGTTGCTTTTGTATTTTGACTTGGTGTCTTTGTTATTTTTTAGGATTCTTGTAATCCTCTATTTTTGTTAAAACCTTAATAAAACCGGTTTGTACTTTTTACATTTCGACCCAACTCCTGGTCTCTCTGGTGGTCTCTGAAGGTATCTGCTTGGTCTTAGAGTGAGGTAAGAACACCCTTCCCTAGAAAAGGCTGACATTAGTTGATCATTTGTATTTGAAATAGAATAGAAACCCTGTTTAAGTTAAACTTATATTATAGTTTCACATTGGTTACTGTGGTTGAGGCGGTTTTGATTGATGTTGAAATATGATATAAGCTCTGTTGATGTCGTAATGTCACTGCTGTGATATTAATGTTTGACTCTGGCTGTGTTTGATATTACATTTGCATTGTTTTAATTGGTATAAGGGGATCACAATTGGGGGTTAGGGACTGTGGGTCCTGAAGCTGCCTTAATTACCAAGGGGTCTCCCAACAACAGAGGGATTCTCCTCCAGGGGCAGTTTAGATACTGCTCTGGGGTTCTACCAGCCCACCAACACCTACTACACTATACACTCCGTTTTGCTATCCTTGCGGTCGGACATCCGAAGCTGGAGTGCCTAAAATAGGGATACGACGGGCAGTTTTGGTGTTAGAGGCCACGCAGTCAGTGTGTGTGCTGGATGATCACAGGAAACACAGGCAGGGGTTCATTGTACTCACGTGTAACCATGTGTATGTTTTTCCATAGAAAGTGATGGGAACGTCGCTGATGTTGATGTTTCCACCAGGAGCTTGCAGAGTGACAATGGCAGAGGCAGAGAGCATCTGGCTGGCAGCAACTGCAGGAGTTCCAGGAGAAACACATCCATCAGGAACAACCTGAACACTCATCGTTCCCTGAAGTCTCTCCTCTGACTTGAAGTGACACTCATCAGTGCAATGAGTGAATAATGATATACTTATTTATTCTGTAAAACATGTGCTCCTTCAGGGTGAATGTATACAGGGTATCTGGGTTCTGTTTCATTCATAAATACAAGTGGTTGAAGGCTAACCCCCTCATTAACTGAAGCCATCAAAATGTTGAATAAGAGCTACCCGTTCAGATTTATATTGATTTCATGGATGAGCTCATGTTTTAAAAGTCTATCATTCAAACATTATCTTTTTGTATTTGCACAAAGAAGACAGTAGAGTAGTGCGGGGCTATTACACACTCGCAGTGACTCTATGCACAGAGGACTTGACTTTGAAATGCATTCATAATGCCTTTCAAACACATGTTGTTTGTCACAGTGAAGCCTGCGATGCTGCTTACCTGCCAGCAGGAGGAGCAGCTTCATGACTCTGCACAGAGGAAGAGGCACAAACACCGGGTTAACGCACGATAACACACATTAACAGCGTACACAATGAAGGGTCCTCGGCAGGAAGTGGTTCATACACTTCCTGAAGATTCAAAACAATGTTCTCTAAACCCGTCAAATGCTCCCTGACTGATTCCCTGATTTCACCAGTTTAGTGATGCAAAGAGGCTGTGAGCAAAACTGAGACATTGAGATAAGAAGACGTACTGGTGGTATTTAACTGAACACATATCTGGAAATCATTTCCCTCAGCTTCACTATTGTCATCCAATGAACACACTTTCACACGTTATGTAAAGAACGGGCCAACTCTGTCAGGGGCAGCACTGTGCACGAGTAACTTCAGGAGTAATGCCAATTCCACCGTGATGTGTAGATGTAACTTTCTTTCTGTGTCGTTAGTGTTAATAGTTATACAATCAGTGTGTTTCTGTTTCAATGCTTTACAAATGCACACACTTGTTACAAGAGCACACCATATTTATATCCTATTGATAATGCTCTCAAAGTGCTTCAGATGAATGAACACTTTTAGATTTATAAAATATAACAATACACAAGTGATGTGTGACATCATGTTTTAGACAGTTAGGCTAAAACCTTTAATCATGTATTCACAATTATCATATGGAGGTACCTACTTAAATCATTGTCTTACTCCTGCATGACCTAGCCTGTTTTTCATGTTTCAGGCTCGAAAATGACATGCCCAAAACAAATGACTACAACTTAACTTCTAAAAGGGTTATATGAATAATTTCTTTTATCAAAGCAAGGTTACATCTGTGAGTTGGATGTAGAAGTGTCAGAATCAATATAAATGTTTTATATTTTAAAGAAAATTCAGATTTTACATAGTAAAAAACTGTAAATTATAGTGTCCGTCCAAAAATTATTTTTTACAGATAGTGAAAACTACCCTTGGATGATGGGTTAGTAGAACATATAATAAGTACCCTGTATCAAGATTGATGCAAAACAAGTGACATTTGACCTTTTTAGAGAGGTTTAGCCAAAACCACCCCACCTCTGAGGTGATTTGGGTGAAAATGGTTTTTTTTCTATATCTCTGGCTTCCCTTGCTCGATTTGGATGGTTGACACACCCTTCTGACCGTTAGACCCAATAGAATCGAAGGGGGAGGCCCACATACACACTCATTGTAAAGAGAAAAGGTGGGGGCTGCGCGACTCGAAAATCTAGGTTAGTGTGGAGCGAACTTTTCTTCTGGAATTTGGAAACTAAAAAGCAGTTTTATTGCTTATGGATTATCAGAAATAATTTCAAAGAAGGCACAGATACATAGGATGAACCTATGGATTAACTGCAGGATCGTTTTTTTTATCGTTTTAATGCCATTGAAGACCAGTTTTGACCAAGGTAAGCCATGTTAGCGTTTCTAGCTACTTAGCTCCACATGTTATGATGTACGCTTTCGTTTATAGCGTCGCAAATGTTTATCACTGAGTGTTGAGGAGGGCACCATTAGATTCAGTGTCTCCAGGACACCAAAAACGAGTGGTTGGCTGTGCATCTAGGATAAGTAATAAGGGAGTTATGAGTGAGTTTAAGTGCCGTTTTAGGTTAAATTTCTTTGCTCGTGGGTAATTCAGAGGCTGAGTGCTAGCATTGTGGGTTTTTTTTGGAAAAAAAAATTAAAAAGATCAGTTAGCTGAGTTTCTTCCCGTTACATGGATATAAAACATTCATAGTTTATTAAATATTAACATTCCTTAGACGTTGTTTCCTGCAAATAACGTGTTTTTCCGCCCGGTACCGGGCGGGCCGTGCGTAACAGGTTAAAGTGCATTTTGTTCATTTGTTGAAATGAACCTAGCAATAAAGCCAACTGTTTGGTATATGTTCAAGGTCTCCTGTTATACTATTTTTAGGCATATATTATAGGTTTCAGAGATACAAAAAACATGTCTCTGAAGTGCTTTGCTCCAAAGCCCAAACAGATCATTGCAGCCTCATCCCCCTCTATTTCAGGCCTGTGACTAAAGAGCTGATTCTGGGTCAGTAGCTTCCAACGTACCCGAGCTGCTGCTGGCCACGCCCCTTTGTGAGTGTCCTGACACACCGGGACACATATTTATGTATGAAAGCATGATAGGTGACCTTTAAGTTAATGCAATGAATGTTTTTTTTACAACTTAAAAGTGTTGTGTTTGTACTTAATAAACAAGTTGTTCCTACTCACCATACTAACTTAAAGTGGACCTATCATGCTATATTTGAATAATATAGTGTAGGACCATACCTATATAAGGCATATTTATACTTTTTCTTTTTCAAAATACCAAACAGATCATGCATTTTAGCCATGCCTCATTTCGCTCAATTTGAAAAATGTTAGCTCTGTTTTTGCAAGGGCTGATTCTGTGAGAACAGCACCACCTACAGGCCTGGCATATGTACTACAGCGTCTCCAGCGCTTTCGAACGGCAATGGCCGCGGCTGTCTCCTCCTGATTGGTGGAGTTGGCCCAATAGCCGTAGCGCCACCAGTCCTGACGTCAGGACAGTGTTCAAATCTGGATCAGTTTTTATCAGATCCATTGCAGCCCCTTTTTTAGAGATTTGGGTATGGAGGAAAATAGAGAGGGTTGTGTTTTCTGACACTTGGTGAGTTCTCTGGAACACCGGGGACACATATTCATGTATAAAAGACGTGTAAAAGTGCATTTTGCATGATAGGTCCCCTTTAACTTAGTTATTGTGAGGCAATGAGTTTGCATACTTGCAACTTATTAAGTTTTACTATGTACGTTCTTCTACAGCAAAAAAGTCTTTACCTCTATTAGTCTTCTGTACACTTTTCTGTACCTTAACTACTTCCACATTTTCAACCCACAAACTCGGTTCAAACATCAAAACGTTAATCTCAGTTAGGAATGCTATGAATAATATTCACCATAATTCATCCACATTTCACTAGAAACTGGTAAGACTTCAGCTGCTACCTGCTCCCCGTACGTTACTCAGAAAGCTCAGCATTCAGCATTCACACGCACCTCTCTTCAGGATTCTCTGTGTTTCTGAGGGGACTGGTCCCTGCACCGAGTCACAGGAGGCTTCCTGACGGAGATGCAGGACCGTGAGGAGAAACATAAGTGGAGACTCACCGTCTGGAGGTCCTGGAGGTCTGGGGCAGCTTATGCTTCTGTTTAGGTCCTGGTCCTGGTCCTGGAAGTCCTGGTCCTGCAGGTGCAGCTCTGATGTGGCGCTGTGTATTTGGCGTCTGCTTTTATGCTGTTTCTTCTCTTCCAGCCCCTAAAGACTGATGCAAACATTCCTGAAAACATCTCAGTCTGGTAAATTTCAGAACACTTTCCAGCCTCCGAGAAGCCCAGGGCAAATACTTTGCTTTGAGGCTAAAGGTTTCAAACTCAATGACCTCTTAATATCAGTCATTTGTAGCAGCGGCACTCTGAGTGTGTGTGTGTGCGTGGGGGGGGGGTGGTCAGTGACACCAAACAGGGAGCTTAATCCACGAGATGAGTAACACAAGTTCAGTAATGAAAAGGCAGCCCCTCCCTCACAGAAGGACCCGCTCTGTGTCAGTCGGTGTCGGCTCATTCAGAGACACATCCATTTAGAAAAAACTTGCATTACGGATATTTCATGTTTTTGGTGGATTTAAAAAATATATTCTGGATCCAGATGCAACACTTTAGCCTGGGGGGGTCACATGTGCAAAGGTCCTTCTCTATGTGCAAATATCCAACCCAGTCTCACAAGAACACGTGTAATAGCGACGTTGTTCCACAGGGCAAGACGTACTATGTTCACTAATATTGTCTGTTAGTGTGTGAGTGTGTGAGTGTGTGTGTGTGTGTGTCTGTGTGAGTGTGTGAGTGTGTGAGAGTGTGTGTGTGTGTGTGTGTGTGTGTGTCAATCGATCAATCAATCAATGTTTATTTATATAGCCCAATATCACAAATGTTACATTTGTCTCAGTGGACTTCACAGTTTGTACAGAATATCAGTATGACAATACGACACCCTCTGTCCTTAGACCCTCACATCGTACAAGGAAGAACTTCCGGAGAAAACCCGCAGTTTAAAGGGAAAAATGGGAGAAACCTCAGGGAGAGTGTTACGGCTGCTGTTCTGTTCTGGGGTTATAAGTGGGTTTAAGTGGTAACATTTAGGTAACACTTTGAGTGCAGTTCACCTGAGTATGGCATCTTTTAATTTGGAGTCAGATCTAAAGGCTGTCATTGTGGATGAGTTGATGGAAAGGGGTAATCTTGTGCTGCCTGCACCGTCTGATGCTTTAACTAAAACTGGGAAGACACAGAAGTTTGAGGCGGAGCCTTCAGCTGCTCAGGCAGAGGGTGGTGACAGTGAGGACGACGGGCGGTTTACACCACCGCTCACGTTGCCTCGCCATGAACCTCTATTCCCTGGTAGCTCCGTAGACTCCCGAGAGGGGGCTAAACTAAAGGTCCGTTTCGCACGTCTCCAGTTAGAGGCAACAGACCGAGAGCAGAGCAGGCAGACACAGTTCCGGCTGGAAGTCAGGAAGCAGTAGCTGCTCTTTCGTTGGAGGAAAGTCTTGACTATGACTCCGTTAAAACTGCCATCCTCAGAGTGTACGAACTCGTTCCCGAAGCTTACCGACAGGAAAATTAGTTTGTGTGTTTTTAGTATGGCCACCCTTGTGTGGAGTGAGTCTGTTAGAGTCCTTAGAGTCCTTCAGAGTCCTTAGAGTCCTTAGAGTCCTTAGAGTCCTTCAGAGTCCTTAGAGTCCTTAGAGTCCTTAGAGTCCTTAGAGTCCTTCAGAGTCCTTCGAGTCCTTCGAGTCCTTCGAGTCCTTCAGAGTCCTTAGAGTCCTTAGAGTCCTTAAGAGTGTTTGCAGCTGTGTGTAATATGTGAATGAGCTGTGTGGTTGCCCCAATGTCATTGGCTGTCATCTCCTGGTCCTCCTCCGAAGACACTGATTGGAGCACGCCGGGCCCGACGCTCTCCATCC